AGGTCAGTGAGGAAGATTGTCAGAAGATACAGCAGGATATAGATCAGTTGGAGGCATGGGCAGAAAAATGGCAGATGGAGTTTAATCTGAACAAATGTGAGGTGAAGTATTTTGGAAAGTCAAGTATAGCTGGAAATGGCAAAACCCTTTGGAGTATTAATATGCAGAGAGATCTGGGTATGCAATTCCACAGATCAGTGGCAGCGCGGGTAGATAAGATGGTAAAAAAGGCCTGTGGCATACTTGTCTTCATTAGAAGGGCTATTGAGTATAAGGATAGGCAAGTTATGCTGCAGCTTTTTGGAGTTATAATTAGGCCACACTTGGAACATTGCGTACAGTTCTGGCTACCACACTACCAGATGGATGTGGTTGTTTTGAAGACAGTACAGAAATGGTTTACCAGGATGTTACCTAGTATGGAGGATTTTAGCTACGAAGAAAGGTTAGATAGCCTGGGATAGTAGGAACTGCCGATAGAGGGTTGCAGTGGGAGAGGGATACACTGAGGTTTAGAGGGTTTCAGTGGGAGAGTCTCGACCCGAGACGTCAGCTTTCTTGCTCCTCTGATGCTGCTTGGCCTGCTGTGTTCATCCAGCTCTACACCGTGTTATCTTAGATAGACTGGATTTGTTTTCACTGGAACACAGGAGTTTGAGAGGTGACCTGATAAAAGTTTATAAGGTTGTGAATAGCATGGCTAGAGTGGAAAGTATGATGCTTTTTCACAGGGTGGAAGGGTCAACCACAAGGGGACACAGGTTCAAGGTGCCAGGGTGTGGGGGAGACAGTTTAAAAGAGATGTAAAAGGCAAATTTTTCACACAAAGGGTGATCAGTGCCTGGAACACACTGTCAGAGGAAGTGGTAGAAGCAGACACAATATCAACATTCCGGAGGACCGCTCTCTCCATGACTCCTTTGTCCGCTCCAGACTCCCCGCCAGCCCCACCACCCCTGACACTTTTCACTGTAACCGCAGGAAGTGCTACACCTGCCCCTACCCCTCCCCCCTCACTCCATCCCAGGCTCCAAGAAAACCTTTCACATTAAACAGATGTTCACCTGCACATCTGCTAATGTGGTCTATTGTATCCACTGTTCCCGATGTGGCCTCCTCTACATCGGGGAAACCAAGTGGAGGCTTGGAGACCACTTTGTGGAACACCTATGCTTGGTTCGTGACAAATGACTGGACCTCCCAGTCGCGAACCACTTCAACTCCCCCTCCCACTCCTTGGGCGACATGTCCATCCTGGGCTTCCTCCAGTGCTACAACGATGCCACCCGAAGACTACAGGAACAGCACCTCATATTTTGCAGGGGAACCCTGCAGCCCAATGGTCTCAATGTGAGCTTCACAAGCTTCAAAATCTCCCCACCCTCGACCCCATCCCAAAATCAGCCCAGCTCGTCCCCACCTCCTTGACCTGTCCGTCTTTTCTCCCACCTATCCGCTCCTCCCACCTCACTGACCAACCCCCAACCCCACCTCCTACCTACCAACCCCATCCCCGCCTCCTTGACCTGTCCATCTTCCCTTGACTGACCAACCTCCATCCTAACTCCCCGCCTACACTCGCCTTTACTGGCTCCATCCCCGCCTCCTTGACCTGTCCGGCTCCTCTCCACCTATCTGCTCCTTTATCCTCTTTTCATCTGCCTCCCTCCCCCTCTCTATTTACTTCAGAGTCCACTTCCCCTTCCCCATTTCTGAAGAAGGGTCCAGACCCGAAATGTCAGCTTTCCTGCTCCTCTGATGCTGCTTGGCCTGCTGTGTTCATCCAGCTCTACACCTTGTTATCTCAGATTCTCCAGCATCGGCAGTTCCTACTATCTCCAAAATTCAAGAAACCCCTGGATGAATACACGAATAGAAAGGGAATAGAGGGATGGGGAACCTGTAAGTGAAGACAGTTTTAGTATGGAAGGGCAAAATGTGTCTGTGCAGGCTTGGAGGGCCGAAGGATCTGTTCCTGTGCTGTATTGTTCTTTGCTCATTGTTCTTTATTTTTTTTTGCATGCAATGCATGTGTGTGTCTGTGTGCATATTGACCTGGCAGAGGCATGCAAATTGCAAGTGTCACTGAGTTCCAAATCAAAGTGTTGAAGAGCTGAGGTGGTGTGTGTTAAATCAAAGGCAGGCATGATAATGTTGGATAACAAGGTGTAGAGCTGGATGAACACAAGGAAGTCACGGCGAGAGCAGTCCCTCCGGAAGGCAGATAAGGGTGGGGAGGGAAAAATGTCCTTGGTAGTGGGGTCAGATTGCAGGTGGCGGAAGTGTTGGAGGATGATGCGTTGAATCTGGAGGTTGGTGGGGTGGTACGTGAGGATGAGGGGGATTCTGTTTTTGTTGTTATTGCAGGGAGGGGGTGTGAGGGGTGAGTTGCAGGAAACACGAGAGATGCGGTCGAGGGCGTTTTCGACCACTGTGGAGGGGAAGTTGCAGTCCTTGAAAAAAGATTTGCCGCTGCAGTTGAATAGACAAAGGGTTCAGAAAAATGGTGACCATGGAGCTCAAAGATCAAAGAAAAATACAGCACAGGAACAGGCCCTTCGGCCTTCCAAGCCTGTGCTGCCACATTTTGTCCTTCCATATTAAAACTGTCTTCACTTACAGCTCGCAGGGGCACTGTGGTGAAGACAATATTGGTTGTCACTGAGAATAGCAATCCATAAACTGCAGCTTTCAGGTGAATGCTCTGATTTGCACATGAGGAATTTGTCCCACCTAGTTTTTCAGGAAAGGAAAGGAGAATTGGAAGTAGCATCTGGACAAGACAAATTAAGTTTTAATGAGATGCAAATGAATGGAGATAAGGTAGATGTCCTGCATCAGTGAGATTCTGAAGTCATTATTTAAAGTTTATGGAGAAATATTGGAAAGGTATTTCTCATTGCCATGATTCTTATTTTCATTCTCGTAATATTTTTCCACTTCTCTCACCATTGACCATGCCACACTAGGGAAGGGAGAAGGCTAAACATCTTAAAAAAAGAAACATCAATTACGGTTGAAACTTCTCACTAGGTGAGTTAAGGATGTGGATCGACAAATGGAACTGCGATGTTGTTGCCATCACAGCTGTGGCTGTGGGAGGGGCCGGACTAGCAAGTCAACATTCTGGCTATAGGATCTTCAGGCAGGACAGGGGAGTGTACAGAGAGGAGATAGTAGCGCATCACTAATGAAGGAGTAAGCGACTGCAGTCAGGAGGGATGATATCTTCAGAAATCACACGACGCCAGGTTATAGTCCAACAGGCTTATTTGAAAACACATGCTTTTGGAGCCTTAGTCCTTCTTCAGATGTCAGTGAGAGAGGTAGTATCAAACACAGAATTTATAAGTAAAAGATCAAAGGTTCACACCATTAATGAGGATGTACTAAACAAACCTAAGATAGTATTAAATATTTAATCAGTTGGAAGGTTTTAATTGATTAATATGTATATGTAAATCCCCGAATTCCTTTCAAGTCACGGTCCTGACGAGAACTAAAGATTTCATCAGAGTAAAGAAGAGGTGACATTTTAGCTCAGACAATGCATGTCAGGTGTGAGGCCTTGTTTAGAATCTGTTTATGTTTTAAACGACACACACATGAATCTATGGGATGAATTCGTATTTGCAGATACGTTTTATTTTGTTCAAAAAGCACACAATTTATAGACCGTCAGTCAATGTGACATTTTATAAATTCCTACTTTAGAAATTAAACCAGTGTGACTCCAAACTAAAACATAAACAGATTCTAAACAAGGCCTCACACCTAACATGCATTGTCTGACCTAAAATGTCACCTCTTCTTTACGTTGATGAAACCTTCTGATCTCTCAGGACCATGGCTTGAAAGGAATTCGGGGATTTACATATACATATTAATCAATTAACAACTTCTAACTGAATAAAGATTTAACAGCATCTTAGCTTTGTTTAGTACATCCTCATCAATGGTGTAAACCTTTGATCTTTTACTTATAAATTCTGTGTCTGATACTACCTCTCTCACTAACACCTGAAGGAGGACTGAGGCTCCGAAAGCTTGCGTTTTCAAATATATCGGTTGGACTATAACCTTGTATTGTGTGATTGCTGACCTTGTCCATCCCAGTCCAAAACCAGCACCTCCACATCATGGATAATATCTTGGAAGGGTCTTCATTTGAGTCTTTGTGTGTCGAGCTTAGGAATAAAACAAGGGCAGTCACACTATTGGGAGTGTGTTATGGACCCTCAAACAATGGATAATGGGAGAGCAGATATATAGACAAGTCACTGAGATGTGTGAAAAAAGGGGCAATTATAGTAGAGGATTTTGATTTCCCCAAGGTTAATTGGGATAATCATAATGTAAAAGTTTTGGAAGGGACAGACTTCTTGAAATGTATTCATGTGAGCTTACTTTATATCAACATGCAGATGTTCCAACAAGGAAGGCTGTAGTATTGGTCCTAATTCTGGGGAATAAAACTGGATTTGTGTTTGAAGTGGCAGTGTGGGAGCATTTTCAGATAGGAACCACAACACTGTATATTTTAAGTTATGGAAAAGGAAAGAGAATATCTGACAAAAAATACCTGCAAAAAAGGGTTTTGGATTGACAGAAGGCAGGTTTTATTAAAATAAAGCAGGATCTGGCCAAGTAAACTGGGGGGAAATAGTTACTACTAGATAAATTTACTGCAGAGCAGTGGGGGCATTCAAAATAGAATTGACGAGATACAGACCCAACATGTTCCCATTAGGATGAAATGTAAAAGCAATAAGTCATTTAGAACCATGAATGTCTATGAATATTCAGAACTGAATAAGAAAGAAAATAGAGCTTTCAACAGGTGCAAAGGGAACAAATCAACAGGAGGCAAAGAGGGGGCATGAGAAAGCACTGGTGAGTAAAATTAGAGTGAATCCCAAGATATTCTATAAGTATATCAAGGGAAGAGGATAACCAGCAAAACAGTACTTAACTAATAAAATGTACTTATCTATTTGTAGTGATTGGAACCAGGTTGACCTCATTGGCTATAAGGTCATCGATTGGGGATGTTAACTTAGCCAATCTGTCTCCCAAGGAGGAGAAGAGGAAACACAAGAAGAAACGTTTGGTGCAAATCCCTAACTCTTACTTCATGGATGTCAAATGTCCCGGTTTTTACAAAATCACTGTAGCGTTCAGCCATGTACAGATTGTTGTGTTATGTGTCAGACGCTCCACTGTACTTTGCCAGCCAGGAAAGGCCAGGCTAACAGAAGGCTTTTCCTTCAGAAGAAAGCAGCACTAAAATGAGAGTTGGCATCTCGGGATGGGTGAGACTACCTGCACTGCTGGACATCGGGAAACTGGCTAAGGGATATTGATTCACTTCCCTGAGACCTGGTTGGCAGGATGAAGGAAGAGTAGCTTGGTGGGGGGAGGCTGGTGGGGTTGGTGTCATCACTGTCCCATAGCCTTACCCATCTGGTTCATGTAAACATTTTGGAACTTCCGCTGATATCGAGTTATTTGTTAGAATTGTCAAATAAAATGTTGTAACATCAAAAAAAATAACCAGGAGATGAGAATCTCCTTGGTTCAGGCAACAGACTCTGAACTGGCTGGCCATAGTCAATGTACTGTGCACCAGTCAATACAGGGTGACTTGGTGATGGGACACCAGCTTCTGTGCTGTTATTTCACTATTGTTAAGGAAAAGTTCTATAACCTTTGTGTTTACCGCTGCATTTTAGCTGGATGAAGCTGTTGAGTGAATAATGATGTTTCGGCACTGTTGAAAAAACACAATAAGAATCAACCAGCTATATTGCCTAAGCTATGCCACCACTATATAAAATAATTAATAGAATACAAGCAATGCAATATATCTACGAATTGACATATTTCTCGTGGTGTACCGCAAAACTGAATTAAATCAGTAAGTTGTGTGAACCAATCACCTCATGCCTCCTGCAAATAAATGAAAGCATCGAGAGAAAACGATCAAGAAGTAACATTCTGATCCACTCAAGAGTCAGATCAGTAAACCTGGTGAACGGGATTCTCTGAACTGCCTTTCTAATTCTTCCCTTTGCCCATAACAGCCCATTTTCTCTTGTTATCTGTCTGTATGTGTGTAAAGGAGAGTTTATAATGGGGTTGGGGATCTAATTAATAAAGATATCCTGATCATTCATAATTGTTTACCTGTAATTAGATTCAATTTACTTGTAATAAATAGAAAGCGTAGAAGAATAGAAACTTGGTCTGTGCTTTCTGTCAAACTGGACTGAAAGTTGGATAAATTGTGAAATTCTGCATACCTTTTGCAAATGTTTAACTTTTGTGACAACTCAGAGGGAAGTGGGGCTTTATTTCTATCCCAATCCTACCCCAGTGAGGTGTCATAGTTGCTGGCCCTCCAACTGTTGTCTGGCCCTTGTAAAATACAGCCTGGGAGAAAATCAGCCATGGCAGGACCAGAATTAACTTTTCAGCTTCTTGCAGGATTGAATTTCATCATTGCGAAAGGGCCAACATCTTACCGTACTGCTAAATTGGCCAGTTCTTTTTAAGGCCACAGAGTCTAAAATATACAAAGAAACAAATTATGACATCAATAAGAGAGATTAATTTTTGAATCTAATCCCAATTAAATTATAATTGTTTCTTTGTAGTTTACATCAAGCAAGAATTGATTAGACTTACACTCCCATATTTTTAAAGCTAATTCTGCGTCTTTTATAAATACTTGTGTAATTATTCATTGTGCTTTGCAACAGCTCGAGAGAACTGAATGCACCTAAATTTCATGCTTGACTCATTTGCACATCTAGCCAAGTATTCCCAGTACAGATACGTGTCAAATAGAAAAAAAATGTGTTTGGGAAATAGAGTGAAAGTCAGGACTGCTCAAAGTCAGATTATCCAGACAGACTGGGGCAACTCAGTTTATACAATCATGTGGTTATATATGACACTCCCCAATTAAAACCCCTTGTGAACTCAACAATCATTGCAGATGCTGAGAGAAAATCTAACCGAACCAAAAATGCAGCACTGTCATTCAGGTTTACCTCCTGATTTTAGCTACTATATTTTTAAATTACATCTTTGGTTTCAAAAATGTTAAGTGATTTGAAGTTATTATCAATCAATGCTAACAGTGTGATCAGCAAGTCTACGCAGAATCCACAAAATATATCATATTGACAATATAATTGGAACTAAAATCTGTAGAAAACACACTGATCTATAGTTATCCATTGGTTCTGCTTTTCCCTCAAGTTCAGTTACCTTTGCAAACAATTCCAGCAGGTCAATGAGGCATGGTTCATTGCCTTTAACTCCATACTGAGTAATCCTTACAGCATCTATGTTCTTTGATGAGATTCGATAACATCTTGTATAATGTTTTCAACTATTTTCCTCATGACATATCTGTAAATTGCAAATTTGTATCCAAGTCTATTTTAATAATCAGGATAACAATTACGAGCCTGCAGCCCTCTGTTGCTGTTACATTATTTATGGAGCTCCTAAAATATTCACCAGAGCTTCACATTTCTTTTTTTAGATTTGAAGAACATCCCAGCTGGCCTCTTTATTTTGCTTCCATCTCCTTGACAGCTGCTATATTCTCATCCACAAGTACTGCTACCCATTGCCTAGTTTTACAAATCTATCTTTGTAAAACTTTACATTTTTTAGTTTCATTTCATGCCTAGCTTCCACTAACAGGTACATATTTGTGATGTGACTCCAGTCATTAATTTTCATTGCATCCACTTCATTCCCTAGAAGTGCATTTTCAACTCAATACATATTTTCTTCGTTGATATTTATATTACTTGTCTCTGCATCTGTTTTTTTCTGCCCAGAACAGCACTTTAAACTACTTTCTTTGCTTAGCTACATTTACTAAAGTGTTATCTGCTCTTTCCAGCTCCTCTACACGGGTGACTTCCACTTGAAAAAAAAACCATGATTTTCTTCTCCACCCAGAAAGAATCGTTATTCCCGACGATGAATTGTCTGAACTATTCCCAAAATTGCCTCTACATGTTGCTAATGTCCACATGGATCAAACAGTTGGGTGCTTATACTCTAATGTTGCATTAGTATCTGTGAAAATGAATGTAAGAGAAATATTTTCCTAATTTGCTAACCTACACTGAATGTAATTAAGTAAGGCCTATATCTCTTCAAATTCAAAAATAGTTCGGATTGAAATTGGATCATATCAAATCCATTCAGTGGTGTGAAACAGGTGCCATGTGGATCAACATTTGAGCCAACATTTCATGCTAGAATACAATATTAATAGAGGTTTCAGGAATTCCTGATGGTTTTCAATAAAGTATTAACTATCTTATATGTAAGCAAGAGGTCTTTCATTTGTTTTCAAAGTCCTATCAGAGATTGTATTGCAAGGAGAGGAAGAGGCATTGTCCCATTTTACCTCCCCTCCCTGGACTTACTTGAGGATGGTTTTTGGAAGTGCAAGCAGCCTGACCGTAATCTCTTTGAAATATATAGATGGATGTAGTATATGAGTCCTATTTAATAGAGGAAACTTTGAAAATTTCAGATTGATAAAGATAATCTACCCCCTTCCCCAACCACAACCCATTCATGCCCCCAAACTACATTATTTTCAAGTTTCTACATCAAATTGAAATCAAAGCATGATAGCATCTGAGAATGATCACCACTGGAAGGAGGCCATCAACACATTATGCCTAAACCAACTCTTTGAAAGAGTAATCCAATTCATTGCAGTCTCTTGCTCTTTCCTAATGGAATTCAAATCTTTTCCCAAACAAATCAGTGTACAATTTATTTGCTCATTCATATTGACATTGGTTCTTCAGTACCACATCCAGAACTGAACGCAACACTGTAACCTGTTCCTAACCAGTACTTTATAATGATAGAACACAGCTCCTTCTGGTACAGGCCGTCAGGATGGGAAACCCAAGAAATTATAGGAGCCAAGGACATTTAGGAATTCCATACCTTATCTCTTACTCCCAAATGTGAAGAACATATAGCTTCAATAATAACAGAGATAACAAGGTGTAGAGCTGGATGAACACAGCAGGCCAAGCAGCATCATAGGAGCAGAGAGGCTGACGTTTCGGGCCTAGACCCTTCATCAGAAATGGGGGAGGGGAAGGGGGTTCTGAAATAAATAGGGAGAGAGGGGGAGGCGGATGGAAGATGGATAGAGGAGAAGATAGGTGGAGAGGAAACAGACAGATCAAAGAGGCAGGGATGGAGCCAGTAAAGGTGAGCGTAGGTGGGGAGGTAGGGAGGAGATAGGTCAGTCCAGGGAGGACGGACAGGTCAAGGGGGCGGGATGAGGTTAGTAGGTAGGAGATGGGGGTGGGGCTTGAGGTGGGAGGAGGGGATAGGAGGGAGGAAGAACAGGTTAGGGAGGTGGGGACAAGCTGGGCTGGTTTTGGGATGCGGGAGGGGGAGGGGAGATTTTGAAGCTTGTGAAATCCACATTGATACCATTGGTCTGCAGGGTTCCCAAACGGAATATGATTTGCTGTTCCTGCAACCTTCGGGTGGCATTGTTGTGGCACTGCAGGAGGCCCAGGATGGACATGTCGTCTGAGGAATGGGAGGGGGAGTTGAAATGTTTTGCGACTGGGAGGTGCAGTTGTTTATTGCGAACTGAGCGTAGGTGTTCTGCAAAGCGGTCCCCAAGCCTCCGCTTGGTTTCCCCGATGTGGAGGAGGCCACAACGGGTACAGCGGATGCAGTATACCACATTGGCAGATGTGCAGGTGAACATCTGCTTGATGTGGAAAGTCTTCTTGGGGCCTGGGATGGGGGTGAGGGAGGAGGAATGGGGGCAGGTGTAGCACTTCCTGCGGTTGCAGGGAAAAGTGCCGGGTGTGGTGGGGCTGGAGGGGAGTGTGGAGCGGACAAGGGAGTCACAGAGAGAGTGGTCCCTCCGGAAAGCAGATAAGGATGGGGAGGGAAAAATGTCTTTGGTGGTGGGGTCGGATTGCAGATGGCGGAAGTGTTGGAGGATGATGCGTTGGATCTGGAGGTTGGTGGGGTGGTATGTGAGGACGAGGGGGATTCTTTTTTGATTGTTTTTGTGGGGACGGGGTGTGAGGGATGAGTTGCGGGAAATGTGGGAGACATGGTGGAGGGCGTTCTCGACCACTGATGGGGGGAAGTTGCGGTCCTTGAAAAACGAGGACATCTGAGATGTACGGGAGTGGAATGCCTCATCCTGGGAGCAGACGCGGCGGAGGTGAAGGAATTGGGAATAGGGGATGGCGTTTT